TCAGGGAAGTAGGGGAAGAGTTAGGAAGCTAGAAACTGGGGCAACTTGATCTAAACGGGGCAAGTACTTCGTAAGTCGCATCTAAATAATCTATCGGGCCGGCCAACGGTTTCGATATTCAATTCTTTATTCTTATTTTTATTTGTTTAAATTAGAATAGGGCTGGGCACGAGGCCGTACAACGCATTGAGATATCATACTGTACATGCGTTTTTGGCAAACGGTTTGTGCCTGAATATAACTACATACTTTTACGCATGGTTATACTTAGTTATTAAGTATGCTAGATCTAGGCGCATATGCGTACGGACGTAGGGTTAGGTACATACGTATGTAGTAAGGCTAAGTATTTAATTAAAAAATACCTACGTACGATCTTATATTTTTCTTCATTATATACTTCGTACATATCTACATGTAGGTGTTTACTTATTTATTCATGTAACTACCTCAAGATATACGTAAGTACCTACGTAAGTAATCATGTAACTTATACGTAGTAAGCTACTCGTAGGTCTTTAGTTCATACCGACATTTTGGTCAGCAAACCCCCCGAGTTTGAATCAATAATATGTACTTGCGTGGTTGGTTTATAGGACTACGAAAGTACAAATGGATCGTACAGATGAATTATTTGAAAAAAAAAAAAAAAAAAAAAAAGAAAAAAAAAAAGATCCATCTAACGCATCCCACCTGCAAGGACCTTACATAAGGCGTTCAAGTAACTGTTTGGTTATGTATTTGATGTATTTTCGTACTCTTCCGGGGCTCCCGTTGTGTATTCGAATTGGCGCCTACAGCGGCCGGCTGGAAATTTATTGATGTCAGTATTACGGTGTGTACGACAAGGCTCCGTATTCTGCACCTCTAGGATTTAGGCCCGCGCGCTACGGGGGGGTGTCCGCTTAATAGCTTTGCTTCTATTCGGTATGTAAAATACTAATGTAAATACTAATGATAATAATAATAATAACAATAATAAAGGTAATACCAACAATTGAAGTGTACTGTACTATGTATATGTAAAAGGTAAAGGGTAAAGGGTGAAGGGTTCAATTGAAGGGTCTGTGTTACTTACTATGTTACTGTAACAAGCAACTATTATGTATGTATGTACAGTAATAGAAATCCTTTCTTGGCCTCTTGAAACGGTATCCAGTCCTGTAAGTCCATTCCATTGTTGACTACTACTGTTGAGAAATGTTCCCCTTTTCCCCGTGGGCATTTGAGTTGCCTGGGTTTTACTCATCTGTTCCTGCATACCCAGCTAGTTAACTGTCTTGGTACAAAGTCTCATAATCCATCGTGGCTATACCGTCAGATGAGTCGCTGGTTCGTATTACCCTTCGGACTTTACATATCATAATAGGCGACGATCATTCGAAATAGGTATCTAACATCATTTAACATGTGCATCAAGCATAATGCCGGCGATACGGTTGTGACAAACGGCCCTGGTCCAGGCCATTAGCCCGCTCGACTTTTCAAGGCGCGCTCGTGTCAAGTTGTTTCACTTGTCATGCTCCTCTCATTCGAAGTGTGTGTTTCCATTGATTAATAGCAAGGTAATACTAGTATACCTAGGTATCTAGACTAAGGGACGGAGCGGCCCTTCTAGAAATCATCCATCCGTGGCATTTGAATGCCGGAGGGAAATGATATACAAGTACGTAGGATTCAAGAGCCACGGCATCAGCTCAGCACCGCTCGCGCCCGGAGTTACCAAAAAGATCAAATCTGATTACTGCCATTCTCCGTTTGAAAGTGTTTGAATATGTCACTAGCTTGGCTTTCAATTTTACCATGCGCCTCGACCAACGCTGGTCAGCGAATCGACCGGACTGCCATCGTATCGCGATACTTCCGGGTCTGCAAGTCCTCAAGAAACATGTAATATTAATTGATATCAAACTTCTTGGCAGCCAAGATCTTATATATGTTCTTCCTACCCTGAACCTTTACATGAGTACCTAACCTACTTGAGAGGATTCGGGCTGCTTAGATGAGGCTGTCGATGCGATGCCCTTAGTAATATTAATCGGGGTATCTATATTAACAATCCTAAGGTCTCACTGAAGTCTCATCATTAGGTTCAGCAAATGCTTCCTAAGATGCTAATACTAACCTCAGCTATATCTCGCCCACGATCGGCGAGAGCAAAGACTCATCTCCTATATATAGCTGATTCGCCAAGAATATTCGTAGACACGTACGTATACAACTTAGACGATCGACTTATTAGAAACCGCTTCGATACGATTTGCCAAGGGCCAAGACGGCGGCCGTGCTGGATGTTTTGGGTGTTGTAGTCAAGACCGGCTCTAAGTCAACGCCCATTTACCACCGAAGAAGTGCAATTTGTACGTACTATCCGACGTTAAAGTGCATGACTTAGTTAACGAGGCTTCGGAATGACCCGCGATTCCCGAATACAATGACCGACTTACACCACAGTTCAACCCGCATGTGCACAGGCTCATGTGCCAAGAAAACAGATGCGCAGCTGTGAATCAGATCCTAAAATAATATGCATAGGTAAGATGCGTAGTAGGGAATACCCTTCCAAGCTTCTTACACCCGCCAGGAATCCAATCCGAGCTCGGTAGAGGGTTCAACTAGATAATTATTACTGGCTTATAACTCTAAGGGTGCCCAGAAAAAAAAAAGAGATGAGAAAAAAGTAGAGCTTGAAATATGGTATATCATACTTTAGTCTCAATAAATTGACCGTCTAGCAACCGTAATGTCGTTATTTAACATTGCTATTACTCGTTATTCCTTGATGAGGAAAGGCAAGCCGGTGACCCAGCTAACACATAGTAGCCAACCAGCCAACCAGCCGACTGACCATAACTAAAGTATGTAGCTTATTTTTAGTGAAAATAATGAATAGTGTTGCATAATACGTGACCGTAAAAGCAAAGACAATTTATGATAATGGGGACTAGCTCATCTCACTCCGTGCGTCTGCAACGGAACGTTTTCTATTCCATCGCGCGGCATGGAACCCCTGTCGTGGTCCTGTAAGTGATCCCGCCCTTGGCGGGCTTCAACTGCTAGCTTGCTAGCCTCCCCCCCAGTCTACTTTCCCCTAGCTGTCCTCCCAAATCGAAGCTAACGAAGTAGGGGTAGGCAAGGTAGGCTGAGGAAGCGCATCTCGCTACTGGTTGGCTTAAGCTGGGCCCGGCGTGGGTTGGAAGTTCCTCCCAACACCGATGTAATGCCCAGAGATTCTTGGTACTGTTTTGGGGGGTGGAAAACCTTGGCTCTATCTATTTGTACGTACAATCTACATACAATCTACATACAATCTGGCAAGCCGCAAGCGCGAATATGTTGTACATAGGCTCGGTTTCGCGCTACGCAGTAATCAAGACTTCGTTTGCATGCCCACCTTTATTATTATTTTTTCCTGGCCCTTTACCTAGTTGAGTATTACGGTGCTTCATCATCTGGATTCTAAGAAACGTTTCCAGGCCAAATCAGGCGGGTAGTTTTACTCCCCCCAGCCAATCCACAAGCTCCGTCATTGCTAGCCATGCCTGGGGCGCCATTAGTCCGTGATGACATCCATCGACAAGTATATTCCCGGCTAGGTTTGCTGTAAAGGACTAAGTAATTTTTTTCTCTCTCGCTTTGGGCTTCTACTTTGAACTCGACGGTTCTTCATCCCACCAGGTTGTAGATGATAAGCCTGCCCACCTACCTACCTACGTTACCTACCAACCGGTCCTTAGACCTTAGACTCAACTTCTTTAAACCTCCCACGTTCCCCCTTCCCGAGCCGACTGCTCCCGTCAGTCTCGCTTGCTCTTACTCACACCAAACTCGACCGCGGTACCGTGTCTGATATCATAATATAAAAGTATACGATATACTTTAGCTTGATATTTTCGAAAGCCGAGTTCAACTTAGACCTTAGACCAGTCCAAGTTTAACTCGATAACTAACAGGCGAACTACTTGGCGCCTAGAGGTTTTCTTGTCAAGACGACTTACACCCACCTCAGCCAAACCCATTTCCGATAGTCCCCATCCAAGGCAGGGCCTTTTCCCGGTCAGACTCTATTAGCCGCATAGCACCGCCGAGAAGCGTTCGCGCTGCACTGTGCAGTCTAGCCAGCCCTTGGTGTTGGTGCCGACGGCTGATCACCGCGCGCAAAAAATATTAAAAAAAAAATCATTGAAACTCAATTGACCTTTTTTTTGCGGCTCCTTGACGGGGAATAAAAAAAAGGTAGAGACAAGAGAGTTTCTCAAACCGCAATCGCCTCAACTAAAAAAAGAATTTTCCAAGCGAAGAAAAATCTCCACTCAATCCACCATATTCTTTCTTACCCTAGGTAGACAGGAGCTTCTTTCTTCCTGTTTTCTTTTCATATCGCGAAAGCGGTCTTTCGCTCCGGTTCAGCCTCGGTCTTAGACATTAGTTTCCATTCATACATTCATACTTATTCACTTATTCCGTACGGCATCGCATCACCTAAGCCGTTACATACACACTTGCACACTTACAGACACATACTTACAGACATACTTACACACTTACACACTTATACGCACTTATACACACTCTTCCGAGTTGTTGACCCGTCTTACACTTACATCCCCCTACTCTACCTATTTACTTCTAGGTACAATATATACGAACAGCTACCCTTGGATATGCGTGCATGAGGGATTCGCTTCAGTAACCTTACCTACCAGTTCCCCGTCGCAGCGTCGCCCCGGTCCGCTGCAACGCAACCTACTAAGCTTATTAGCTACCGTTACCAAATCGCTACTCTCGGGCCTTTGTTGGCCCCTTGACGCCCACGTTCCCAGCGTTTTCCAGCGGTTCCTAGCGGTAGCCTCGATTTGCTCATTCATTCACTCGAGCGCCCACCGCTCCTTTGATCCCGCCCGAATTTAGTTCGAGTTTATTGAGTGTCAACCCGTTTACAAATCCGAGCAACCCACTGGCCTTCTCAACTTATTCCAGCTTTGATTAAAAACTTCACAATGTTAATTGACGGCGAGAAATGGGCTTGCGAAGCCTGTGTTAGAGGACACCGGGTTAGTAATTGCCAACATGCAGGTAAGTAGTGAGCGCAATCATTACCGCATTTCTAGTTATTACTTCGATTTCCCCCTCTATCTATCAAGCCCATTTACAACGACCCCCGCGGGGCAGCGCATGTAAGTCAATTATCGGCGCTCAGCCGAAGACAAAAAAAATATAGCAGAGACAAAGCAAGGAAGACTCGGACATATTTTTTTTTCTTTCATTTTATGACTAACTATGCATTAACTTACTGTAATTGGGAATATGTCACTTACAAGTTGTCGCAATCCGTCTAGATCGACCACTTCAGCACATCAACAAGAAAGGCCGGCCCGTGTCGCAATGCCAGCATTGCCGCGCGATGCGCAAATCTCGGTCGTCTCATGTAAAATGCGATTGCGGCGAGAAGACGCATAAATGCGCTCATCTAAAGCAGACAGTTGAAGGACATAAGGGTGAGGCATCCCCCAATCTAAAGACGCCCTCCAAAATTATTCCTATTATATGTAAAAGACCTACGAGTCTGACCTTGAAATCCATTTGCCGGTCCAGACAGTTGTTGTTGTAATCACGGAGGACGATGCACATGTTCGCATAAGAAAGAACCCGCGCTCGATACCGTCCCAGAGTCCGATTCCGAAGCGGAAACAGATGCTCAACCGGCCAAGCCCAAGGCTACCCCTCGGCGACGGCGTACGAATACGGCGCATTCCGAGCCTATCTTGAGCTTTGACGAGAATGGTCACCACAAACCTCCGCAGAGGCATACAAAGGCCTCGCAGAAGAGTGGTCCCTATACCATAAATCGAGGCTCGTCCATGCATAGGACTGGTAGCTCGAGCAGCCTAGGAACGAAGTCCGTCGACCGATCCCGAACGACCGGTTCTTCCTCACCTGATAGAGAGACACGGATGGCGAAATCTGCGCAAGCGTCGCCTTCGATCGAAGGGAATTCGTCGTTCCAACATCTTAATGGTCAATTGCCGCCATTGGACCTTTCCAACATCCGTTACTCCGAATACTCCTCGTTCGACCTTTTCTCGGGCGTCTCCGATTACGAACCACCCATGTTCAGCGCAGGTCTTAGCGCGGCGTCGGTCGATTGGGCGCAATACGACGGCTTAGAGCTGAAGGGTGAAAGCTTCACACCCTCGAGTTTTGACCAGACACAGTCGTACATGGGACTCGACTTCGGTGGCTCTACAGAGCCGACTCTAACCTCCAATTCGGGCGATGTGTCCGAGACGGAAGACTTGGCCTCCGCATTCAGCGAACCGCAGTTTGACGGCTACGGCAATAGCGCCGCAAGCAGCTATTTGGCCATGTCACAAAGCATACTTACTGATAATGACCTGAGTAACCTTGACTTTAATCAGTTCAAGAATACGACGGCCGCGAGTAAGTTGCTCTCCAACCAGTCCTCGTTTGACGAGGGTAGCTCCGTCTTCCCTCTCATGGAAGATGATTCTATCTGGGGTATGAGCAATTTCACCGACGGCATCACGCACTCGCCGGATCCTGTAGCGTCCGGCCTGTGGGATACCGCTTAGACCAGTTCGCCACCACATCTATGTGTTTGTGTGTGTGTGTGTGTGTGTGTGTGTGAGACTACGGGGCGCATACGTCCGGTGATAATATACATACCGGCAGGCTCCGACAATGCGGAACTCCAGCGTTTTGATTTCTCGCGCTGCATTCTTCTTCAATCATGATACCACGCGCTTTATGATAAACTTGAGCTCTTGTTACATCCATCGTATACCCCTTAGGGAGTCTAGTTTCGCGCTCTCATTTTTTTCCTTTTTCTTCTGCTGTCGATTCAGTTTATTCTGATCATAGCTCTCATCAAACGGACAATGGCGCGGATTTGCGAAAACCAATTTTTTATCGGCGGGAGGGGAGATTTGGCATTTCTGTTCTCTGGGTAACAGAGCTTATGACACTATCGGATTCTCGGGAGGCGTTCCTTTTTTTTTTTTGGACATTATTCTTGAATTTTGTTTTGGGGTTTCTGTCTCATACGGGAGCAGCTCGCGCATACGAAACCTTTTTCCAGTCGTACATATTACCTCCAACAGCATATGTTTATCATTTTCCCCAAATATTTAGATCCAGACCCTCAACGGGCTGAGAGAGTGTGTGAGAGGCGGTCTGTTTCAAACAACAAAAAATATCTACCTTGTTCCTGCACATAGATTAGAAGTAGAGAATGCCTAGAAGGGCATATTTGGTACATCGGTTAGAAAAGGCAAATAGGGGGTAGGGGAGAGGAGGAAAGACAAATCGGAGTCGCTCGGTGCGGGACAATCTCACGAGTCTTCTTAGGGTGTCTTTTTTCACCTTGGTACGGTATATACTTGCCTCTTTGGGTATATTATTCAGATATAGCTATTGCTATTATAACACACTGTTATTATAACACCCTGACCATCGCGGAACACATGCCCATGCGTCGATCAGCTGACAGCTTGCGACTTAATCGGGGGTCATGCATGATTCCCCTGGTAGACGCGGCGAAGAGGCTCCGCAAAGATTGGGGGGTTTTTCTTGGGTGTTTTCCAAGCCAAGGATCCAAGATGACAAGGATGACAAATTATCGATGCTGCATACGCGCGGTTCGCGGTATATATGTAGATGGTAATCCACTATACTATGTATATATGTAGGTAGGTTAGGAGACCTTTGTTCCTGCAGCCGATGTCGCGAACCTCCGAATGAAGCGATGTAGCGAACCGGGTCGTGCCGAGTTTCTAACGGTCATAATTTTTATTTAAAGAGGAAAAGGGACGTCGAGAAATATTTTCCGCATATATGAGAACATGGCAAATAGATGCGAGCTCGGCACACGATGGATGGTTTCAAAAGGCAAGCCGAGATCGTACATAGTAAGTTTGGAGAGGGGGGCTTCTTTTCTCTTTTCCAAGACCCCCCCAATCGTGCCGTTCTATCCTGTAGTCGGTGAGGAGAAGACGGGCTCTACGGCCTATGATTAGACGCGGTGTAGTGGAACACAACGGGCTTTCCAAGACGAACCAAGAGAATGCACAAGAAAAAAAAACCTGGCCGAAGAAGGAGGGGGATTACTGGAAATTTATGTATGGAGCACAAAGATTTAAAAGAGACCTAAACGAAACGAAATGGGTTTTTTTCTTTTCTTATTTGAGAACGATCGGAAAAGAACTCACCAGTGACGACATGATGGTACCATCCTGATTCGTGTGAAGGTCGGATGATGGAGGGAGGACTTGGCGTTGATTCGCCCTTTGCCTTTTTAATTCTCTCAAACTCGTTGCCGATGGAGACAGATCGGCAGACGCTGAAACCACCTTTAGGCAAATGGGGGATAAAATGTCTAATGGCCCTATACGACTCCAAGGTTATATCAAGGTACAGTAAGAAGAGAATTACCTGCCTAACTAAACCATCAAAACGCTACCAAGATGCAGGTAATAATATATATGATCCTTAGATCTCCAACATATCCTTAGAATCCCTCCCTCCGTATTTGCTTCGCTTATCTCAAATTTCGAGCTCAAGCTTTATGCCATACATACCTATACATACCTATATACATACCTATATACATAGGTAGTAGGTGGACAAATATCACCTTCTCCGCTGCCATCAGTTGGGAACATATAGGGTTATTTCTTTCTTTCTTTCTCCAAGCTCCGCGCGGCATCGTCACACCCAATTAGAATAGGGGGCGCTACAATAGGACGACTAAGATGGGAAAAACTCCACTTGGCTGCTGCTCGGCAGAAATAACCCAACTTCTTCATGCTGGCTGACCTAGGTGTTCCACAGCAGAAGAGTCTCATGGCTTATTGCTCAGTTGACTAATATTACCTGTTGAGAGGCTATCGATGGATTATGAAAATGTTGGGTAGCAGTAGCAATGGCTCGAATAACCCCCCTCCTAGGCTGAAGGTATCGCCAAAGACCTTCCGGCATGTTCATTGCTACAATATCGGAATCGAATAGTTACGGGCTTCCATTTGGGGACATCCGGGACGTCCACAGGTTCCGCCTGACAGTGCTAGGCGAAACATTTTTGCTACTTGTCTCCAAATATCTCTAGGTAACGGCAGTTTGAGGGTGTGTTGATTCGATAAGGCTACAAGAGACGTATACTTACATACGCTGTATGAGTCGACTACAACCTTCAATGGTAATATTAATTATGTGATAGTATGAACAAGATAAGACTCGTTAGTCCTAGCCAAGGAAATATCAAATAGTCGAGCATATGCCAATAGCGCTTGCTAATAGGAAAACGAAGCTAAATTCACCTATGGTATATCTTATGGTAGATCATCTAAATTAATTCATATAATAGGTAATCAATTTAATAAGAAGTTTAAAGAAACCCAGTGCGAATACAATGTGTACATATGCCAATTTTCAGTCCCCAGTATCAACGTACCGACAGATTCGATCTCTACTGTAGTTCGTGAGATCTCGGATCGAAGAACCAAATTTTGTCACATTCGCACTTGAGATGAGATATGGTCACTTGCCTTTTTAGGTATTAAGTATAACTTGATTGGCTCGTTGGATATGCAGGTTCGCTTGGTTGCATGCAACACTCAAAAGCTTCAAATTAACCTTAAGGTAAGGTTCTGTTTTCATGATAGGTACCTAAGGTAGGTAGTTGCTAATAGACCATAACAAGGTAATTTTTCGTCACGGTAAGGCGACTGAAGAATCTACAAGATACTTTTAATAATCCCCCGAGACTCTATACATATACTGAAAGCTGGTAAAATCACATTGGTCCTAAACTTTTAACTACACCCTTGTCAATATCCGCGCAAACAGTAAAGCGGCGCAGCACGTTAGTTGATAGAATTCTATCACGACTACTCTCTGAACGTAACTTATTGAACAAAGTTATCATTAATATAAATCACTAATGTAACCCGTCTGGCCTTTTAATGAGGCTAGATGAAGCAAGGCCACACCTAAACTAATGCCACCAGTCACCACTGGGCTTATGGCGAGGCCACGGCCCGGTTCCGTTGCGGTGTACACTATACCATAGTCCAGCAGAAGACGACGTTCGATCTTCTTTTCCGCTAAAAATGGTACCATTCCTCATAAGAAACGGCAAACCTTGCTTACAACTTATGCCTCAGATGCCAAAGATTTTGACAATTTGGCAAGCGGTCCATATCCAGGAAGGATTATCGATTAACAATTATTTTCTGGCTTATACCTTGCGTCGAAACCCAGATTAAAAATACTTTAATGTATCGGTAAGTGGAGATTGCGTTGAGAGGATCACCTTCCAATATCCCCTAGGGCTGAATTACTTCATTTTCTATTCGTCTACCCATGGCTCTGTACTGATACTACAGGATGCTATCCTACCGCATCATCGGTGAGTGAGTTTCAGCCAGAACATTTAAGTAGCCACCTCGAGTCAATATTCGAGGATCAAACCCAATATCACTATAACTGTCGCTTGTCCTGAGCGATACGGAATCTGAACTCTTCTCTTGTTTAGGGGCTTCAGATTCTGTCGCCGTAGCTAAGTCGGCAAGGTGCTGTAAGCTTTGGTTCGCAGCATCCTGAGCAGTGGAAGGCCGGATATGCTCTGATATACGGTCCCTTATGACAGCATCCCACGTGGACGGAGCGAGATTCGAGTCTAGAAGCTGCTTTAATAGTGATGTGGCTTCATCGCGGGTTTTTTCAACTTTGGCTAGCTCGAGTAGTGATAGCGCTACAAGGCAGAAGAAATGATGATTCAACGGGGTTAGGAGCTGTGTATTTGTAAGTAACAGACCCACTGTCTCTTTGCATGGCCATAAGATGTCGGATGATTTTGCGTTGGTCTGGAAAAGATATGCAAGTAATCTACAATGCCAGTAAACCATGTGCAGTACGGGATGAGAGGCCGGCGTGAGGCTTTGAGGAAGAATCTCTCGAAAGAGCTCTATGGAAAGATTGAAAAAAGAACTCAAGATAGGTGCAGCGCCTGAGTCGGGAGATAGAATCTTAGGAGGAGCCAAGGCAACCGGTGCAAAGTGACCCAAAATGTTTGACAACCCTATCACCGTTAGCTTTAGGCTTTGTAATATATTGAATATATTCGATATACTTACGTGCTAAGTGGTACACATTTTCACCGAGGACCGACTGTAGGCTAGGTAGAATAACCACACTGTCATTCGGAATGAACAACGGACTTGCAGTCCCAATAGCATTCCAGCGGTCCAACATAATCAACGTCCACCAAGCTCGAATTGCAATGTTTTCATTTGAATCGGATTCTAGAGGAGCATCGACACTTGTCTCCAGACCCGAAACGTGAAGCCTCATTGAATAAGCTAGACCTACAGCGCGTCCCAGAACCGACGCTTTAGACGGGCCTCCGTGTTCGCCCTTCAGTGACGGCGGGCCGTAATTATCAGTTGCAAGGGCCGTCAGTATCAGTGTTTGAAGATGCACGAGGTTCATGACCGATGTACGCGGAGTCTGGTCAGATTCCCACTCCGTTATCATCCGTGTACCGGAGCCAATGTCGACATTAGTATACAAACCAGGGATCGAAACAAAAGACTGCATAGTACCATAAAGTGCCTCAACGAACGCATCACGAAGGAGAGGCGGGCACTGCGCTAATTGACTTTCAACACGAGTTTTGCTTGCTGCGAGTAGAGGAAAACACGGATGGACTACATTGAGGTAACCGCTGAAAGCACTCTCATCTAGTTCACGAGTTGTGCCATTATGGTTGAGATCAAGCGGCGTCGTATCTATGGCAGCAGCTGGACGGGGAGGTGTATCTGAATCGGGCTTGGACAAAGGCTGAGGCGCCAATCCATTAGCAGAATACGGAGGCGCCCTGAAATTTCCGGAGGGGTTCTGGTAAGGCTGGATCGGTCGTGGCTCCGAACTCCATGTTGCCTGACGCGAATTCGTAGGTGTCGTAAACTCGCCGGATATGTTTGAATACGGTCTCTTACGGTTATTCTCCTCCGGCTGCGCAGGTGTACCAAAGATATCGGCCGACTCTCTCCTGGCACCATTCAAAAGCTCACTTAGGCTATCGACATTGCCTCCTTCACTTGCTAATTTGCCTTCTATGTGGTGTATTCGATCTGCCAGCTCTTTAATATATCCTTTGCTTGGGCCACGCTTCTGTGGGATTCTGCTGAAAAGACAACGAATCGCTGAACGACGGCAGTTGGAACAGGGTTCTTCACCATTTTCCGAAACGGCATCACACTTCACCTTTTTCCTACGACACTCATCACAAGCACGAGACACTTTAGATCTCTTCCTCGGTGGGATACCGTCCGGTATAGCTGAAGCTTGGGCTGCATAGTGCTGTGCCAACTGCTCCATCGTGCTCTGTGGCTGTATTTGAGGGGGTTGCTGATGTGGGTGCGACTGCTGCGGTGCTAAATGCATCTGATGGTGGTCCTGTGGGTGCTGCTCAGGTAAGTATTCATGTTGCGGATGTTGATCTTGTAGGTGCTGTTCATTATGGCCAATAGAAGAGTCGTGGGTGTCCATGGGGTGATCAGCATGGGCCAATTGGTCATTATGATGTTCATGAATATGATTCTCAATATGATTATTATGTTCTGGTATGTGATCATGCTGCATTTGGTCATCCTGTTGCTGGAGGTGAGGTTCATGTGCATCAGACTGAGCTATCACATTTTGAAGGTTCGAATCTTCATTAGGATCGAGAGGTAGTGTGGGCATGCCTTGACTAAGACCTTGGCTAAGTTGAGCGGCAAGTTGCAACTCTTCTGCACTTGTAATGGACGGGCGGACATCTTGTTGATGCGGGGTGGAGGGTTCGATATTCTCGGGTTGTGCTTGTTGATGGTCCGAATTCGAGTTGTTATACACTGCCGTACTGTCATGGCCATTCGTCGCGGACACGGAATATTGTTGTATGTCAACAGTCTCGTCCCGGATTTCGGGTTTTGAGTCTTCGAGCATAGGATCTATATCGGGCATCGTGACTAGTCGCTTTTAGACGCGTCGGAGTCTACAGGACGGGTGGAGCGCGATCCTCCACACAATGCGATATTACTTGCGCTAGAAACAGACTTAGGCGCAAATAGACGCAATTGCAATAAAACAGGACGCTGCCTCTTATCCCCCGCCGAAGATGGCAATGATGCACTTGCGACAGGTAGAAGATAGAGTCGAGCAGTGTAGTAGTAGTCTATATTGCTTCGTTACCTGCGAACAGAGGAACGTTAGAATTACATAGCGACAGCACCAGTCGTGATGAACAAGAATATGAAAAATGTGTCTTGAGATTTAATCCAAGACTATTCAAGCCTATGTAAAGCCATTGATATATAGCAACGCCGACGCGGGCGTAGCAAGTATAGAAGCTCCCATATCGAAATGCGACCAGAGAAATGGTCAAAAGAAAAAAAGAAAAGAAAATTATTTAAAATCAGATCAGACGTACCAGCAGCAAGTTCCAATAATATGGGGATGGAAAATAGATAGACGAATTCCGGTTTTGCCCAGAAGCGGAGGAGGAAGAACCTGAATAGCCGATGTCTCTTTTTTTTTTTTAACCCAGACTTTTATTCCTCGGTCCTAGATTTTGCGCGAAAGTCGGCGATTCAAAATCAATGCCAATTCTCGGAGACGGGAAAAAGTTTCGAGTTGAAAGGATCAAATCAGCGTGTGCGGGTGTGGAAGAGGGAGTTGGAAAAAGAATTTTGCGGAAAGTCGACAAGGACGAAACCCGAGAATTTGTATATATGCTTTAAAGCGTATGTATCATTATCCCGATCCCTAGCAAACTTAAAATTTGTTGTGCATGATATTCAGTATGCACAGGTCCGTCATATTACCTCAGCTATACCGTATTACTAAGCACAGCCGTTCAGACCAAACATGACAAAGACTGAAAATGCTTAAGAAAGTAAAGCAGTTGTTCATATTTTTCAATATACACCTACCTTTTCGATTACATCGAAGCATCCAATCTTCCATGGCAACCCTAAACAACAACCGTAGCTCCCTTTGCTACTCGTCCATATGTAGTTCCATACCTTTCAAGCATATGCTCCTCAGCCGTCAGGGCTTTACCATCAGCACCAACAGTAGTAGGCTCGCTCCCATCGAAGGGGGTTAGCTCGACATCGGTATTGCCGTCAAAGAAGAACGGTACAGAATACCGGTCCTTACCGCTACGATTAACAACACGATGTACAGTGCTCTTATACACGTTCTTAGTCCATAGCGATAGCATGTCGCCGATGTTGACCACATAAGCATCCGGGTTGGGGTCCACGCCAATCCACGTATTGGTAGAATGATTCAGGACCTCGAGGCCACCGGACCCATCTTGTAACAAGAGTGTAATTGCACCTAACGGATACAGAAGAGAAAAATTAGGATTCTTATCCCGTCCACTATATAGCTATATGGAAACTTGCAAAGTGAGATAAATAGGGAGGGCTTACCAAAGTCCGTATGCGCACCAGCTCCGAGCTGACGCTCATCCTTTGAATTCTGCGGTGGGTAGTGTAATAGCCGGAGGGCGCAAACTGGATCGTTCGAGATGAACGGTACAAAGACGTCATCACCATAGGGTAGACCCCGAGCGAGAATTTCTATAACCTTACATGACAGTTCGAAAATAGCGGAGTAGTAGGTTTCCGTAGGTATTTTCAATGCCTCATCAGGGAGTCCTTCTGGGAAGATGTTTGGGCCAATTAAGTATGGATGTGCTTGTGACCGCGGATCATCGCTAGCTATATGTTGCCCGACGAAGAAACCCTGTGCGCCGAGTTATAGTAGAATTTAGCTACTACCCTGTAGTAAAGCGCGAGATAAAAGCTAACTAGGTATTGTGGGTGTAGATTTTTCATCGAGTTGCTTACTTACCTCTTTAAGATCGGGAAGAGTGTCTTCTTGTAAGGCCTATTTCCATCCGAAGTCTGTCGTTAGTTCTATGTGGTACCTATATTGAAAAATACTCTAGTACGAGATAAATAAACGAAGAGGCGCCAACTCTAATCACTAACCTGGGCACCCATTAATTCATAACCCCTATTTTTCAGAACTGGAGGCCGTATCTTTTTCTTCTCTTCTAGCGGCAGGGCGAAAAAAGTCTCTGCAGCCTTTAAGACGTCGTCTCTTAGCTCTTTGGGGACGCCATGGTTAACGATCTGGAAGACTAAAATGAGTAGGGTTATTAACTATTTTCTTTTATCTTTAAACCTCATGAGCCTATTAAATACAGATTGCTCTGGTATTTTAATCATATATATGAAATTGATACAAATAGCCTTTCCTAGAATACCAATGGTGACTTACAGCCGCTTGTGACACAGGCCTGCCGCACATTCTCAACGACTTCAGTAGATGCTGCTGAGGTCGGATCTTTAAGGAATGGGGATATATCGACCGTTGGGATTGTAAACCGGACAGTGGGTTTATTGGTAGTCATCGTTGCGATATATCTTTTTACCGAAAATATAAAGGATATCTGCTTTTACTTAGACTAAATATCTTTAGTTCAATATTCGGTCGAAACTGGATATAGTCTCAATAAGTCTAACTCTAAACCTCCGGCGGAGGTTGCTTATGCCTAAGTGTTATCAGCGGGGGATGTCCACGGAGCTCGCCGGCTACCGGCTACCGGCTTCGGAATACCCAGTTTCAAGGTTTGGCCATAAGTACCTATATATGGCTATCTCTGTTGCCTATCAAATATATAGAATTGAGATGACTACGGATAATACTCTCTGATCTGACTCTTTCTTCATACAGCGGAGTAGAGTTTAGGTCAGGTAGTGTAAGAAACTCACTGTTCGAAGTTGCAAACTTTCACTTAAGAAACGGCAATACTAAGCAGCCTTCAACTTTTAGAACTCTGATGATTCCGTGTATTATGTTTTGTTATATAATTGGTAGGTAGTGTTACATAGTTGGTACTAACTGACAATCCAAGACGATCTTACACAGGCTAGGCTTAGTAAATAGACACTGATTGCCGATATTCGAGGTCCTAAGACCAAATTAGTACATGTTCTACGGAGAATCTACCTTGCGCAGTGATGCAACTATATAATATTGCATAATCGCTGTGATACTAAAATAATATTAAGCCGCCTCCCCCTCGCGCTAGCATAATGCTTTTATTTCCCTCCATTCCTATTCTTACGACGATTTTTCTTTTTCCCTTTATTGCTTTTGGTAGCGACAGTAGCGGTGGCGGTGGAAGATGCTCCATCTTCATCAGACGGTGCAGGTATGATTGCTTTCCGTCCTTCGTCGCCTGACGATGTATCGTTAGCCTCGAGAATGACTTTGCGAATGCCACCGGATTCGATTATATTTTCGGTAATACTGCCACTACGCACGTGGCCTCTTCTCCGCCCGATAGCGTCATATATACTCTCTATACTTTCAGTCGTGGATTCCTGTGCTGGCGAGGTATCACTTTCAGCCATGACACTAAGCTTAGTCTGTGTACCTTTAGTCACTTGCTCGGAACCCTCGCCTTCGAGACTGGTCACGATCTCGGGTGGAGGATTAGAAGGTGATTCGGTGTAACTCCGTTGTAGGGCATGTGTGCCATCCTTTGCGTTGAGCTGAGATCCTAATAAACTTGTGCGTTCATCGACAACCGCAACTAGATCTTCTGTGATATCGTCTGTTGTGATAGAAGTTGAATGTTGCTGGGCGCTAGCGGCTGCTGTTGAGCCGGGTTTAAGTTTAACTGCTGAAACTCGTGTGCTCTTGGGGTTTGATGCAGGGTTCGATGGGCCAAGATGCTTCAGGTGATCCCTCATTTCCTCGAAGTTAGCTTTGACTGGTACCATAGTGTGCACCAGTTGTCCGTCTTGACCGGCCGAACGTCTTCGCATCAGCAACGTTGTCATCTTCGGGCTAGAACCGAGAGCAGAAGCATCCGTCTTGCTACTTATCGACGTACCCCGTTTAGACTGAGGCCCTTGTCCGTCTTCGTCTATGTCAATAAGCGTGCTATTCCTGATCTCAAGGTCCTTAGCCATAAGTTCCCTCCGCAAAGCTCGAGCTTTGGGGGCGGGATGAGATCTACGGATGGCTTTATGCACATCGACATATACATCCGACTCGTCAATGATTTCCCTAAATTTAGCTTGTGAGTGAGAGGTCGGAAATGAAAACTATAGGGAAATTACTTACTCTCCGATAAGCTCTTCAATCACATCTTCAAGCGTCACAACACCCAGGGCACCATGATCATCACCAGGAGACTCCGAAATAAGTACCATGTGGGATTTTCCTTCCTGGAAAAAGTTGATTATATCAAGACAACTAGTTTCAGGTCGGGTCTCGGGAAGGGCAGCGAGAGCAAAGTCTTTGACTCGTTTACCATCTTCAGGATCATAGGTAATGAGGATTTTGACCAAGAGCATGCCAACAAAATTCGTCGGGTTTCCAGTTTGATGGATAGGGATGCGAGAATAGCCGGCGTCGAGAATTTGATCGATAGTCTTTTCGTCCAACACAGTATCCTCCGACATGGTAAAGACATCCTCCATTGGCGTCATAACCTCCTCGACAGGCTTGCGTTTCAGATCTAGGACAGCACTGATGATGGTAACTTCGTCTTGGTTTAGACGCTCGTCAACTTCGCCCAGAGATTTATGAAGCGTGACCAGCGTCTTCAACCCGCTTTTCTTGTATACAGTTCCATGGTCTTTACCTAATAACCAGTCGAGGAGCTTTGCAGTGGGCCATGCGACGGGAGCGAATAGGTACATCATCAGAAGCACGGGCTTTGACATATACCCGCCGATCTGAAGACCATAGCGAACACAAACAGACTGTGGCAAGATCTCGCCGAAGATTACTACAATGGATAAATATTAGCACAATTATAAGGCCTCGAAGACGACTTTAAAGGACCCCTACCTATCAGGATAGTACTTCCAACAACAGCCGCAACGCCACCGCCAAAGCACCTATCTAGCACGACGGGAAGAGTTTCATTGACAATAACATTGGACAATAACAACGTCACCAAGACCCAGTGTTTGCCTTTGTTTAAGAGATCATGAACGCGTTTTGCGTTCTTTCGTTGGGGCTCCTCAGCATCTAAAGATATTACTTGAAGGTAGATCTCATCCTGACCCATTAGTGCTATGGTCAACCCAGCAAAGGCACCTCCTGAGAGCACGAGGATCATAGACGCGACGTAAAGCACCCAGAGGGCACCATCTTCGGCTTTTTCGGGAGCATTATCGAGAGCATTGTCGAAAGCGTGATAAGATGTTGGAATCGCGGATGTAAGACCGACTGAGAGGAAGAGGGCTCTGAATAGACTAAGTACAATTGTACGAGCGCGAAGGATGCCTTCGTTCCCCATGCTTGCCGTTAACCTCGCGAGGTGAAGTCGATTGGTTGAGGTATACTACTACCTAAGACGGCTTCGAACTTGACTAGGACCAGCGCAGTTTATCAATCGATCGAAAGGTGCTAGGAAAAAGTTGTTAGGGATAGAAGGGTTGCCTTTTGAGACAGGCAGTTAGCCGTCGTTCCGGTAACCTTCAAAGCGCCACCTTAGCCAAGCAGTCAATACTGGGATCGCACTACCAATTAAATTTGCCCAGTTTGAAATGTCAATGGATGGGTATATATTTAACGACTATGGTCAAAGGACCATGCCATCCATCTAGGGGCTCGCAACAGTGAATAATAAAAAAGTAATGAAGGAGAAGAAAATCGGTTGCACCCGCGATAGTAATTTGTGTTGGAATGGATGGAAAATTGGAATTAAGCTCCGATGACGAAGCTTAGCCCAATAGATGATGAGAACTTGATAAGCTCATGTGGGGACAAGAACATCGGATCATAAATATTGTTACTACGCGTATTGGCATATTATTGGTGTATTGGCGCGGGAAAGAGTCTAGCAAGGTGGGCTGCAGCTACCCTTGACTGACCTCAGCCCTTAGGTACATAGTTTAGCTGCCCTGTTGCATGCATGTACCTAACCTAGGCACCTAAATTATGTACCTAACCTACCAAAAGTACAAAATATCTCAGTTATCAACCATCACATCGTCTTTTTACGCATGATCACCATTAACGATGTATACACGGCATTTGACATATATACATATAAACGCGTACATCTAGTCATACCATATGGCGTTCATTCCAAAACCTGGCTCCGGAATCCGACATCTTGCGACGCGGCCTAGGAACTCATCTTTCCACCTATAGATTTCAATCCATCCCTCTTGATCGTCTGTAATCGCTAACCACTCATCGCTCCAATCGCATGGTGCTACTGCATTGCTATGGCCGCCACTCGTAGGTGTAGGATTTAAGCAAATTTGTCTCTCGATTGATCCGCAGTCCCGCAATCGAAATGCCGCAATGTAGCCCTGCAGGTCGAAACTATTGGCCCGACTCGTTGCGAATAGATAGTCGCCCGACTTAGTGAAGACACAAACATCGCTACGGTACATGGTATCATGCTTAGGTATTCCCGGCGGGATCAGAGGATACGAATGGTGCGTATAAACGGGCATGTGCGTTGCCGAGTCGATAACATATTCGCAAAGTCGATTTCCAGCTTCCATCAGAGCATATAAGTAATTGCCCGACGGATGCATGGCTACCCACCGCGGGTGGTCTTTTGGATTCGGCGCATCAACGCTTCCCACAAGGTCAACCTCTCCCGACGCTGCTTTCTTATGTACCCATAGCTTGTTGGCTCTCAAGTCGGCCGAGTACAGGTAGGTTTCCGTTGGGTCGAATACCATACCGTGGATGCCCGTATTGGATTGGTATGGATAATGTTGTATATCCTTATCGAGAGCGCCATTCGACGACACGGAGAAGACGGAACCATGACCAGCATGTGAATAGAATGGATTGCAGTAAACGGCGTATGGAGGTTGCTTTGCGGCGAGCAGGAAGATGGCGCGAGTATTGGTAGTGGCCAGGCTTGCTTGAGCTACGTGCCCAAGATCACGGGTCAATCACCGGGTAGGTTGGCTGACAGGCCAATGCGAAACTTACGGTCGTGATTCATTGAATGCGAGGCTTCGTGGACGATCTCGGTTGGACTCTTGACAGAAAAGCTAGACCATTTCTTCATGGCCGCGCCGTATATGTTCTTCTTGGCATGCTAAGACAACAACATGTGAGCATTTGGGAGATTGGTTGGTCTCAGCTGAACCTAAACCTGAATCTGAATTTGGACTAAGTCCGAGGCCCAAGCCTATGTAGAGGGGAGGGGTTGACTTACGTCGAAAGTCATCCAAGAGATGGGTTCGTCATGAGGGATCTCGGTTCTCTTCACCAGCTCTAACGTCAATTTCTCATCGTCAAAGGCCACAGTGAATATGGCTCCGGGTGGAGTCCACGTCCCTATCATCAAGTGATGAATCGGCATCCTTCATTCAACCTTACCGTGGGACGAGTGTAGAAACGATCTAAATCGCAACCTAACAAGTTGCCCGAACGGAGAAGTGAATTTGAGTTTCAAACCCTCGATCACGATAAGAAAACAATTAGCTCAAGTAGTTTTCGTCAATGAGGATTCGAATATCGGATAGGGTTAGAGTTGTTACCCAACTACATATACAAACACATATTCTCCAATGAAATAATACTTCACTTTAGGACCAACCAGCAAGCTCGGACGAAGTACATAACTCTGATTATCCCCGCATCTAGGTACTTTTACGGATCCGTACGCATGCGAACTCTTACACCATTTCCCACTATTGCCCACCTAGGTATGGCACCTCGATGTGGGGAAGAATCTATAAGCTTGTACACATTGAACCACGTTTTCATTCACATAATCGGCACCAGTGGCGGTAGATGACCACGGCAGGCGGGTTAATTCGATAGCTACCGAGTGGATGGCTACATGCTGAATCTCCAATTGCCACGCTGCAATGCCGGATAAACGCCTCATCGCCAGATTTCCCCGCTATATCGCAGCTCAAGTGGTCGTACTATACGCTGCTGAGTCTTGAATCTTAATAGGGTCGCGAGTCTTCAGTCAATGGGTGTAGCCTTTCGTCAAAGGAGAAAAGACAGTGTTTCACAGTCAAGCTCAGTCAAGCTCAGTTAAGCTCGTCGGCGTCTTAAGCTTCGAATTGACACAAGCACCAGCATGTGACATCACTTAAGGATACCTCTAGCGAAAGCAACCCTTAGTGGGGGTATTAAGGAACTACTATTCCTAAATCGTGTAGCGGGCATTCATGTACGCCGCTACATATTCCCATAAAACCCCGGGTCCACGCGATTCGAGTTGGTGTTGGAGTTCTAGAAGCACATTCAATACCTACCCTTCCTAAGGGCAATATATCACCCGATGGACAAGGAGATTTCATATGGCTGCCGTGAAATCAATCCGATCTACATATAGGACCCCTTATTGAAGAACGGCGGGGTTTCCGAGTCTTCAGGGACCGACCTATCAACGAAAATCCATTGCTCATTCAATGGAACAGCTAATGGCAAAAGCTTAAATAAACACTGTTCTACCGATGGCTTTCGTTCCATGATGCTAGGTGTCTCATACTAGTCTTGTGTCCTTGTGTAAAATATATCTAGGCCTTATTCTGACTTCAGTTTCGTATATATAAATAATACATCTTCTCCCTCTTTTTCTATATATATTTCTACCAATAATTTCATACGCATCCAGACACAGAAATCCTACCTTCGCTAACTAACCCTACCATATCTTGGTATTCACATAAATCAAGAAAAGCTCTCAAGATGGCCCCCGAAGCTACTGGTGTGTCAAATGCGGCACAAGCTCCTAAACCTTCCCGGTTCGATCCTACCTTCACGCAGCATGTCATCGATACTATGGGCCCTAAGACCACCGAGAGGAATCGGGTTCTCTTGTCAGCGCTGATCCGACACATTCACGATTTTGCTCGAGAAACAGAGCTCACGATTGATGAATGGTTGGCCGGCGTCAGTTATATCAACGCCGTCGGCCGGGTTTATTCGGAGTCGGGACAGACGAGAAACGAGTCCCATCGATTGTCTGATATTCTCGGGCTCGAAACGTATGTCTTACCGATGAGAGTTATAGACAATTACATCAAATTGTGTATGACCGTCAACTAATATGCAATTATATTAGGCTGGTTGATGAAATCGCCCACAAGATCATCTCCGAAACAGACGTGGACCCGACATCCTCGGCCATCCTCGGGCCCTTCTGGTCGCCCAACGCGCCCTTCCGCGAGAACGGCGGAACCATAATCCAGGATCCGGCGCCGAACGGCCAAGTCGTCCTCATGCACGGCGTCATTAGCGATCTAGTCACGGGCAAGCCGATCCCCAACGCCGTCTTCGACATCTGGCAGGCCTCGTCCAACGGCAAGTACGACTTCCAAGACCCCAAGAACCAGACGCCGAACAACCTGCGAGGCAAGTTCCGCGCCGACGAGAACGGCAAATACTGGTTTTACTGCTACTACCCGACTGCCTACTCGCTACCCACGGATGGCCCTTCCTACCAGCTACTGCAGATGATGGATCGCCATCCGATGCGTCCGGCACACATCCACATTATGGTATGTTCATTCTAGCCAGCGTTCTCTCTTGTTCTCCGTTTCTAACAAATATCCACCATAGGTCACACATCCCGAATACAAGGGCTGCACAACACAATTATACCCCAAGGATGACCCCTGGCTATCATCTGACACCGTGTTTGCCGTAAAAGACGACCTGGTGGTCGACTTCAAGCCCCTAGAAGGCGACGACAAAGCGAAGCTCGAGCTGAACTACAACGTCATATTAGCCCCTAAGGATTATAAGGGCAAGCCGTTTTAGACGAAACTCCTTGGGAGTTAATGTAGTCCTACAAGAGCTTGAGAAGCAAGTCGACTCATTGAGCTTGGTACTGGAAACACAAATTCTTGTTGATATTTAGTATATGCGAATGTAGTTAAAGCGAAGCGCGATGTTTTACAGATGGGAGTCAAGAAGTTCAAGCGGCACTAATGCCTTCGAAAAAGAAGAAGGACACTGTGTCTTAAGTTATCGTAGGGCGAGGATATGGGTGCTCTGGTATTACTGTACCAACTCATGCGTCTGGGCTGATATATATAGGTAATATATCGTCCTTGAGCTACAGCTCATCAAGAAAATGTGCAGCTTTCATCACGGTGATTATTTCGGTACCTACCAGCCCAGTTCAAACTACCGTAAAGAGATGAGGAGGTGAGGTGTATGAATACACATTAACTATACGATACTACTACTGCTGCTGCTATTAACTATTAAACGAATAATAACTATTATTCGCCAACTTCCTCACACCTTAATCCACAGTCTGAATTCATGATTCGAACCAATATCGAGCAGACCTAGTTATACTTGGCCATTTCGGATCCAGCAACATCCTTCGCGAAACAAAACACCACCCCCTCAAATATCCCTAGGCACATCTCCTCGGCCGGGCATACTTGAACAGTAGCCCATTTGCCATCATAGGTGCAGGTCTCGACGGTTTTGTTGTCAGGGCCACACTGATGTGAACCTGGCTCGCAGTCCTGATTTAAGACAGTTCGATAAATGGGGTCGCCACCCACCACAAAATCGTTATAATCGCACTTTACGCGGGTGTTGTAAAGCTGCTTGCAGCTAGGGCAGGGTCCAAAGTCCTGCCACTTGTGCTCCGCGTCACATGCCAAAACACGATCTTCGTTACAGCGCACTTCACCGGCGAAGCACGGGTTATCCTGAGCCATACGAGCCTTAGATGTATGTGGAGCCGGGGGTTTCATGAGAGGTATGCCTAGCACAATTCCCGGAGTTGTCTGTGATGGTGCCGATGTTGTTGGAGCTGATGTAGCAGTTGGAACCGACGTAGCCGGAGTCGACGTAGTAGTTGGAGCTGACGTAGTAGTTGGAGCTGACGGAGTAGTTGGAACAGACGTAGCCGGAGTCGACGAAGTTGTCGGCGTGGCTCCCGGTACGTCATCACTGCTACTGCTACTAGGCACTTGCCCGTTGTCGCAGAAGGGCTGGCCGTCAGTGTCACTAACGCATTCGAGGCACTGCTGTATACGCTGCCACGAGAGATCCGCGTTGCAGAGATCAAGCCAATTACCCTCGCAGCGTAGAGTACCTTGTACGCATTGAGGTGGATGACTCGGCTCGGGTGGCATATCCACAAGAGGCACACAATTTATGGCGCCGCCTTCATCTTCACTACAGTCTTCACACTGCGTCAAACGGTGCCACTCGGCGTCGTTGTCGCAAATTTCCTCCCAATGTCCATTACATCGGAGCTGGTCCTTCTTGCAAAAGGTTGGCGTGGGCTCAGGCGATGGAAGGCTATTGTCAGGAATGCAGTCGGCTTTCCCGTCACCTTGACTAAAGCACTCAGCGCATTGCCGCCACTTCTGCCATACGCCAAACCCGTCGCAAATCTCCTCCCAGCGCCCATTACAGCGCAATTCAGCCTCCCTGCAGTTGATATGAGATGGAGAGTATCCACTAGTACGAGTAGGAATCAAAGTGTCAACAGATGAGTCCACCGGGGCGCTGCGCTTCAATCCGGTGTCCGATACACATCCCTTCGACAACGAGAGTCAGTAATTGCTTCTTTGAGAATACACGAGAAGGTCCCAGTGGTATCACAGATGCGTTAATCCATCCCCGTTTGATAATGGAGTTCTGATTCAAAGAAAGATTCAAATAGGGGAAAAATGAAGTCAGTTATACTTACAACGGTACCATCAGCCTCGGCATTACACCACGACGGATACACACACTTTTCCTTAGCCACCCATTTGTTGTTAGAATCGCAGTGGTAGACGTAGTCGTCATTGCAAGTTGTGTGTCCAACCATACAATGGTTGGGATCGTTTCGGGCGGTAGGTAGAATAACACCTAACACCGAGGTGGACAGGCCCAGGCCGACCAGCGTGGCTTGATTAATTATTACCATCGTAGAATAGAAGTTGTTTCTGTTGATTAGAATGAAATAAGTAGCTGAGTGGCAAGTGCCTATGGTGTCAAAGACAGGTTACTGGGTTCAAGAACTATAGTAGTAGACACACCTAAACATATGAATGAAGCAAAGCTACTTTTTAGCCAATTTGTATGTCTTTGCCTGATTGCTTGATTTGCAATGAAAGACAAGAAGTTAAGAAAATGTTCTGAGATCCGTCTTGAGAGGGGGGATGGGGGTTTTTGTAAGGAGAGAACAGACCGGAATATGACTTCCCTGGTCTATTCTACCTAAGCTCGTAGCAAGAGCGTCCTCATGTTTCTATAAACGTGGAGATCAATGCTCGATACCTATCTATCCTTATTTAGCGCAGTGATAGTAAGGAACGGTCTGGGAATATTAACATCGACCTCGTCTTCGAAACCATTAGATCGTCTAAGAAACGGCGAGCCTCCTGCGCACCCACCCTGCCTACTTCATATACTCAACATATCGGAAGGAACGCTTTGTCTAGGTAATTAGCTCGCATCATAATTATCGTATCACAGCACAAAAGTAAAGGTGGCCTCACACAAGCTAGGTAGTGTTGATCGAGAACGGTTTCAATGCCTTAGCCGGGTCTATTCGAAGACTATCTACGCTTATAACTTTTAACCTAATCCTAGGCCGGTGTATGCATCGAGAAATAGGTAGCGGCGTCAAGAAATATAAAACCATGGCCGTTTATACTGATGAGTCATTCACCACGAGGGCAAGCAAAATATAATAGCTTGGTTTCAGTATAATCCCGATGCGTGCGTGCGGAGGTTATGCGACAACGCACGTTTACCCATCAGTTGCGCAGTAATTGTACTTGAGGATTTCATTTCGTAAATTAACTACAAGGCCTTCAATGAGATAGTTTAAGTTGGGGTCGAGTAGATAGGAGCCTACGAGCGCTCATCATCTCGATGACGTTGATATCAATGCCAACAAACCCATCCGGAATCTAAGTCAACTATTATATAAATTATTCCATTACAAGTCCCATATAATGCCATAGATTTTATATTAATTATAGCAATTTGTAGTGCTTAGTCGACTGAAATAGCGGGACCAATTTTTGAATAATAGTAAGAGCTTATTTTCTACAGTTATCTAACCTAGTAGTTGTATTCATGGTATAGAATCCACCACTAGATCGTAGTATGGAAAGAATAAAGCAGATAGTAGATATAAATATTGGCATACGTCAGAGGTATCTATATAGCTAGAATATTGGACACACGTATTTGTCCACTTATAAGCAAGCTGCTTTGCTCCTATAGGGCTGAATTTTGATGCATAATATATTATATTCTCCGTTCCACACGCGGCCAGCCATTGGTAACCATTGTCCCGGGATTCGGAGCTCTCTATTGATACCTACCACATAATTTATAACTACCTCATACAGGCCGGTAGCCGCTCGCTGTTACATTTCTTATGGTAAGAGACACCACGTGAAAATGTGAATAGTGACTCGCAGGAGCTTAGTTGACTGACGTTAGGTATTAGCCAAGGTATATTTATACCAAGATAATAAGATGTGCAAATATTGTTTGTGTTCTTGGTTCTTCGACTTGTGTTTACGGGACTTGGCAATGCTGTCGGGTTGTCTTATGATCTCTTAGTTGATCATTAGCGCTCCGCGTGAAGATACTCGGCTGTGGGTTTTTATCTAGCCAAGCTGGGGGACTTTAAGCGGTGTGTAATGTAATCATAATTCATATGATTATAAGAGATAGTTACACATTTTATATAAATACAAATTATATACCTCTTGGTTATATCAAATAATGATCTTTGCTATGTACATACCTATCTATAAGTTGGGCGTAAGTACCTTGGGTACCTAACCTAATCTAAGTTGTCTAAGTTGTCTAAGGTGTCTAAGGTGATTTTATTATCCCCGCATCTTCAGCTGCTAGCGTCATCTTCCCCCGCCAGCAGCTAGTGAGCTCTTTCGTCACAAGCTCTATAATCTAAACAGCTAGGGCTACTTAGGGCCATCTATCTGCACGCTAGACACCGTTCGACAGGGGACTAGACCGGAGCAGGGGTAGTGCATGCTGCCAAGGGTATCTGCCAAGGGTCCTTCCCTTGTTAAGCCCTTGTAAAAGGCCTGTAAAAAAAACCAACCTTGATGATCACCTCATCCTAACATTATCTATCATCCTAATCTATAATCATCATCCTCCCGACTCTTTTCTCCAACTTCTTTGTTTTGAGTCAATTCCATCTTCAACGCCTTTATTATATTAAATTGGTAAACAATTATCCTATATTTTCTTTAGGGTATCCCTGCGCCTCCTCCGACCGGAATTATTAGCTTGGGCTGCTTGCGACTGACCGCTTGCTGCTTCGGCAGCTTGCTGATCTTACCCATTCCGATTCCGCATCTCAGTGGCGCGTGGACTGAACCGCCAATTATCGTGAGAGGGTTATGGCTTCTATAACCGCGACCGTGACGGCGACTTTACTGTCGACCGTCACGACCACTGCTGCCGCCGCTGCCACCACCACAGCCGGTCCTGCTCCTCAAGGCGGTATCTTGGAAGGCGTCTTACCGAATACGTATATCCCATCGAATCCTATTCAGTTGTTTATCATTCAGGCCGGTATCATCATCATACTATGTCGTCTTCTTCACTACCCGCTATCCTTCTTCGGTCAACCTCGCGTCATCGCCGAGGTTATTGGTGGTATCCTTCTCGGTCCCTCCGTTCTAGCTCGAATTCCTGGCTTCAAGAGTGCCATATTCCCTGCCGATTCAATGCCAGTTCTAAACAATGCCGCCAACCTCGGCCTTATCTTGTTTCTCTTCCTCATCGGTCTCGAGGTCGACATCCGCATGTTCACTGCTAATTGGCGCGTTGCTTTAAGTGTCGGTCTGGCTGGTATGCTTTTACCATTTGGCTTAGGTTGCGCCATCGCCTGGGGCTTGTACAACCAGTTTCACAATGACGGAAATACCGTAGACATCAACTTTGGCGTTTACGCCCTCTTTATTGGTACTGCTTTGGCTATCACGGCTTTCCCGGTTTTGTGCCGCATCTTATCCGAACTCAACATGCTCGGTACTCCCGTAGGCGTCACCGTTCTTGCTGCTGGTGTTGGTAACGATGTTGTCGGCTGGATTTTACTTGCGCTTTGTGTCGCATTGGTTAATAACGGCTCTGGCATAGCCGCACTTTGGGTCCTTCTCGTTGCTGTCGGTTGGGTTCTGTTCCTAGTCTTTGCTGTTAGGCCGCTTTTCCACTTGGCTCTGAGAAAGACGGGTAGTATACAGAATGGACCAACACAAGGCATGATCGCGGTTACCATCTTGCTGGTCCTAACCTCGTCATGGTTCACAAGTAAGTGGCCTTCTCAGACTTTAATGTTGAAGTAATACGCCTAACCTTTCTAGGTATCATTGGTGTGCATGCTATCTTTGGCGCCTTCTTGGTTGGATTGATTTGCCCCCACGATGGTGGTTTCGCTATCCATGTGACCGAGAAGATTGAAGATTTAGTCACGGTTCTCCTTTTACCTCTTTACTTTGCCTTGTCTGGGTTAAGCACGGATCTCGGCCTCTTGAACGATGGCATCACTTGGGGCTATGTCATTGGTGTCATTGTAGTTGCTTTCTCCGGAAAGATTATTGGTGGTACACTTGCAGCTAAGGCGATGAAGCTCGTCTGGAGAGAAAGTTTCTCAATAGGCGTCTTGATGAGCTGCAAGGGTTTGGTAGAGCTTATTGTGCTGGTAAGCTACATCTATCAATATAATTATCCGGTACTGATACTGACGGGAACATAGAATATTGGCCTCCAGGCAAGGATCTTGTCGCAGAGGACATTCACCATATTTGTTGTAATGGCTCTGGTCACTACTGTCTCTACAACCCCCCTGACAAAATGGCTGTATCCTCCATGGTACCAGAAGAAGCTCGAGCAGTGGAAACGTGGCGAGATTGATTGGGATGGCAACCCGCTAGAGCCCAAGAACTCAAGTCAATCTGATTCTGCTTCTCACTTACGAGAGTTTAGAATTCGCCGCCTCCTGATCTATCTTCGCCTAGACAGTCTTCCGAGTCTCTTCACATTCATATCTCTTCTAGGCGACGAGAAAGTCACGCCAAGTCCGGAGGAAGTACCAAAACCTGATGCTGACGATGATGTCGTTAATGCTCCTATTCCGGTTATCCGGAGACGGCCCCTCGAAGTTCACGCTTTACGGTTGCTTGAGCTTACTGAGCGTACGTCGTCCGTCATGAAGGTTTCTGAGAGTGACGAGTATTCTCGACGCGATCCAGTGGTGAATGCATTCCGAACCTTCTCTCGACTGCACGATGTGGCAATATCAGGTAACGTGGTTATCGCCCCCGAAGACTCTTATGCCCAAACAGTCGTTGCGCAGGCTTCGGACCGAGAGTCTGACTTTGTCCTGATTCCTTGGGGCGAAACTGGAAGTAATAAGGAAGACCAGTCTATCCCATTTAGGATTTCCTCAGAGGATCGATTTTCTGAGAAATCTCACCTAGAATTCGTCCAGGCGGCATTGGGAAATGCTGTCTGTAGTACAGGAATCTTTATCAGTAAAGAGGCTAGCGGTTTTGCATCCGTGGATAGGCCAGCCCTTCCTCGAACTATTAGCAATATTTCGATGCGTAGTCATAGGGAATGTGCCCTTCTTCCTATCGCAGATAAATCGCTCAATATCTTCTTCCCCTATCTTGGGGGCGTCGATGATCGATACGCGCTGCGCTTCATCCTCCACCTTGCTAAGAACCCGCTCATCTCGGTTGCAATCGCTCATCTAAACTGCGTCGAAGGTGACGATGAAATTATCCCTATTTCGGAAGGAAACCTGGAACCCAGTTCGCCGACGTCTATATCTAAGAATGGTATCAACACTGAAATAACAGCACAAGACACTTCTCTATTTGCTACATTGCAATCTAATATTTCTCCTGAATTGGCTAGTCGTGTGACGTTTACCGAGATATCTGTCACTGTCAGCACGGCTGTTAGGCGGGCGACCGAGCTAGCCAAAGAAACTGTTGGCAAGAACTCGCGCAATTCCGGTGACATCGTTGTCGTTGGGCGGAGACACCCTAGGCTCCCTGCTGCTGTGCGCACACTGGACCAGAGTAGCACGGAGTACGAGATGCAGAAGACGATAGGTGTTTTCGGTCAGACCATGGCTATGAGTGACGTCAAGGCCAGCGTGCTCGTCATCCAAGCCGCAGGTTCAGGACTTGCGCAGTGATTATATTTGGTTGTTATAGGCGTCTGGGGAAACTGGGTCAGGAATAGGACTTGTGATCGAAATGTTGCTCATATATGCAATGGTTTAGTCATGTCGAGAGGGGGATTGTGTTAATGACATGATATCTTATATATTATATACCACATTATACCACATAAGCACCTAAAGCTCAGCGAGTCACCGTCTGCATCTTGTTGTCTGTATCTAATGACTCGATATATACTATTACTATCAGCTAAATTGGTCCGAGTATGTTTACTACACTTCATCTTTGTTTCACATAGCAAGCTATAAGTAATGAATGACACGTATTAATAGATGAACACTTTACATGTAAAATTGAACGCTTTAGTAGGTGAGAAATCATATATTATAAAAGAGCGGTATCCCGTCTGACAGTCTTCAGCCGGGACCCGACTGATCGACCGCATTGTCAGCATCGTCAGCCCTATCCCATCCACCGGATCCAAAACGCTCATGTATGATGGCCTATGCCTTAGCGGGGATAGAGTTCTTACGTCTCCTGCTGACGTAGCCGAATATGACGGGCCCGGGAGCGTGGAAACGTGGCGTTTACTTGCTTCTTTCCCCTTTTTTTTCTTCTTACCGCTTACCTACCGAAGCGGTCGAATCGTCGCGAGATGCAATTGACTAAGCTACGGGACTGCCCGTGCTTAGGGGAAAAAGACTTGACACGGATGTGTGTGCGGTGCGCATGAGGTCCCGTCCACTGCGCTCGGGGACTACACTAACCTAGAATCCTAGGCTGGGTTGGTTGCGGATATTTTGTAAATATAGTAATGACACGATGGCGATGCTCAAATTAGCCCCCATCGAAAAATTAGTCGGTGACATCATTGTCCTTCGGTTAGTTTTTACTTCATCTAGACAGATACCTAGACATACTGTTCATTTTTTCATCCTTTGCTCTGCTCTACGGCGTATCTGCATACTTTAGGCACGTAAGTGAACCGTGGTGTATATCTAGCCTCACCCCTTATTTCTATGACATGGTGGTTAAGTTAGATCCATAATACATAGCCAAGCTAATTGTCCTACTCCTGTTACGAGTGAGAGTCCAGCCCGGCCATATGGTGGAGATCAAGTTAAATCACACTAACCAGCCCGGCGCGTCTTCCACCAACAGCAGTTCCTGTACATAGTATATGTAAGTACCGCCTAGCGAGCGCAATGGGGCGAATCCTGCTGGATGGGGGGGGGTCCAAAGAAAGAAAAAGTTCGTGATAGAAAAGGGGGACCACATCATATCATAACTCGGGCCAGTCATTTTGTGTGATGGGCCTCATCGGCACCGAGCCTTCCGAAAGCTTTCTATATAGATATATTAGGTAGGTAGATAAATATCCTATCGTGAGTATGTACATGGTAGCTAAAACCCCAGCTTTCCCGTACGAAGAGGCACGGGCATCCGAAAATCCAAACTAGCGAAAAACCCGACCCATCCCATTCGCCGACCTTGTGCTTCCCGAGGATCGAATTGAATTATCTCCCTTGCGTTTGCTTGTGCGCCCTGAATTACTAAATGAAAATGTAAATTCAAGCCAAAAAAAAAGATTAAAAAAAAATACGCGAGCATGTGCGCGTGTGCATGCGCATAAACGAAGTTGAGATGCCTGTAAATCCAAACATGTGATTTGCCAATGCTTCCGAAAGGCCATCTGACCCGTTCTTAACACAGGCTTTAACACAGACGAGATCACGCTAAACGCACGTGGCTATTCATAGCAATTTGTCTACCTAATGTGTACGAATGAATATGCAGCTAATACAATATATAGACCGAGAATACCCAAGCCTTATGGTTCTAGAATTGAAACTAGAAGAGAAGGCTGAAACAAATAATGCACCTATCGTTTAGCAAATAGATAGCTTACTATTATTCATTGCTATAGTTATCTATTATTTACTTAAGTTAGTTACTACTTACATACCTAAGGTATGTATATATGTATGTATATACTGTATATACTTGGCAGACTACTGCCTGGAACTATTGTCTTGTCTACCTAGAAGGAAGAGGAAGAGGGAAGACGGGAGGATTTAAAGCCTTTATATGGTCTGATAGTTTTTTGAGGATGTTGTTAGTTAGGTAGGCAACCTGCAAATGACTTACTTACTTACTATGCATGCTGGGGTGGAATGCATACGCCGCAAAGAAGACGAGGAATATTCCTTAGATCTTCGATGACGTTACGCAGCATGTGTCAATTGTCTTATCCTTCATGAACAAAACCCGAGTTGATGCGGCTACGTTCAAGCTTCGTTGTCTCATGTTTCAGATCCATCCCATCCTATCCTATCCTATATTATGCTCAGACAGATCATTCCAGTTTGGTAGAATAAAAGAGGCTCCTTCAACCTTTTTCTTTACATACACTGGGTGGGGGTCCATTGGGTGTAAACCTGGAGCCTCGCTTTGCCTGCCGGCAAGATACCGTACCCTAGCAGCCTAGGCGTTGGATACTTTCTTAAGAGGCGCACCGTGATTGTGCCGAAAGAGTGCGCGCACGCGTCCTGTGGGGCACAGTCTGACCCCACGAGCTTATCCTTCTGAGACGCCTTTTCTACGTACAAGAATCGTCACCGAAACTCTAGTCAGTGTCCTCGTGAGGAGCTAAAGGTCTCGGGTTCCAGCCACGAAAGAGATCGGGCTCGTTTTCGTTTACCTACCACCTTCTTGGACCCGTGGTTTTAAACCCACCAGGCGTGCATTGGGCAAGAAAGATCCTTGCCGTCTAGCGTACCTATCGCGGCGTAGCACACATAGTCAAACCGATGAACCGATGTCTGTCTAAGACATTAGCATGTGTAATCCCACGGAACATTTCCGTCGTCGTACATCGTGGGTTCTACTCTTCTAGCTTCTAGCTTCTAGCTTCTAGTGTACCATATGCCGTATGCCGTATATACAATAGGGCAAGTCCGGGGTAAGGTGACGTCGCGAAGCATCTTCTATCCCCTGAACTGGAAATGACCAGGGACCTAGACTAGGAATCATATGTATTAAGAACCATAGTTTGCTGTGGCTGCAGCCAAAGGCTTCAGCTCATCTTCTTTTAGGAAATACGGCCTTGTTACACAACATGCAGCCTTTCGAAGAGATGGAGACGAAGATCGTGGCCTCGAACGGACTCGATGCTGCGACGCTAAATTTGGTGTGTCGGTTTCAGTGCTGTGCCGCACGCGCAATTTGCGATTTCTCCCACGATGGCCAGGGGAAAAGGAAGGGTTTGGGGGGATGAAATAGTGAAATAGTGTATTTCAAAGAATGAAATTATCCCGGTAACCACCTGGAATTAACCCAGGCTAGTTTCGTATGCTCCTATGCCACGTTGTTGATCTGATCGGTTAGACTTGGAGATTGGATAATGGTCCTAGCATGGCAATAATCCTCGACATGAAGTATCCAACCTTGTCAATGCCTAGGGTTAGCGATTTAACTAGGGGTACGGTCCGCGACTCCACGCCGATGACACTTACTGAATACCCTTATTGTACATAAAGACTTCTGACAACGGTCCCGAATATGCAGACTGGCATTTCGAATATGCACAATCGGTAGCTGAGGAATATATCGCGGGATATTCTACCGCTATTGGATATAAGATACGACAGGGCCAAATTAGTAGATAGTAGGGAAGCGTGCGTTCCGCTTTCTAGATGGTGATCGTCAGTAGGAAGACCCTGTTAAAGAACATGTCCGAATTCCTAGTATCAAGCCCCCAAGCTCCGAAGGGCTCGAGACAATTTACGAAGGCCAAAGCCGCCTACTAGTCTCGTCGACCGAATAAGGTAGTTTTTGCGATCAGCCCATTTGTTGCTGGCGCGCTGGTATGGTCGTCGTCGTCGTCGTCGTAGTCGTAGTCGTAGAGAGTCAAGGATGGTGTTCCCTCTTTGAAATACAACAGCTAACAGCGCTCGCTATCGTTTAGCTATTTCATCCGTTCATATTTCCGGCGGAGTTCCGACGCCTCCGGATATGCTGTTCGGTCCGAGCTGACGGGAAATCGCATTTCAATATGTTCATCGTGACACTAACGGGCGAATAATATCGCGCCCGTCCCGCCGTCACAGCTGTAAACTGCGAACCAACCAAAACGAAAGTTGTGTAAACTACCTAATCTAATATACAACATACGCTTGCATCGGGAGTCGAGATCGTTTCCGATACGTTTAATCTTGAATGTGGCTTTCAAACGCCGTACTAATAATATGTAAAGACGCCGACAATGGGAGATCCCGATGATGGAATAAACCAGTCATTCTATAGTCATTCTATAGTCGCCGACTATGTATGCATTGCTAGTATAGGCAGATAGGACTATTAGGCCCGGGACGCCGAGGCAAATAATAATAATGTAAAATCGTATATTTGATACACTGTAGTTCTCGTAGATAAGAAGAGGTCTAGAACCCCGCGATCGACCATATAGAACTGCTAGCTGACGCCTACATTTATCACCTGCAGGCGCCTTACGTGACTAGAGACTCAAGCCCCTTCAGCTCTATTAAGACGAGATATCAAATATCTCTTGTGAACTCATAGGTTTGTGTAACGGACACCTTGGTAATACCTAGCTGCACGACTTGTAAACCGGAACAAGAGAATGGTCGTATAATTTATCAAATCAATCACATTGAATGTGTATACTCACATAAAACGAATATAATGCGCCCGGTAACTAAGCCTTGGCAACCCTTTGTGCGAAATGCGGCTTCGTTGGTCGTTCACGCAGTATGGCCGAGTACGACATACGCTTATACTACGATCTAGTGAAGCGCGGGTGGATGATATCGTATACGCCGTATTGATTAGCAATTATTCTAACCGACAACTAGAATATGATAGTGGACAGCCAAGCGCTGCACCATAGCAAGGATAAATTCGTAACGGCCAAGTAGGTCCACCAGCCACGTTCTACGATCATCTAAAGGAAACATGACGATGACGTCGAGGGATGCATGGAGATACGAAAGAG